ACACCAAAGCAAAAGGAAAGACGACAACAGGAACTGAGGAGACACCAAAGCAAATGGAAAAATCAACAACGGGACTGAGGATACACCAAAGCAAATGGAAAAACAACAACATGAACTGAGGAGACACCAAAGCAAATGGAAAGACAACAACAGGAACTGAGGAGACACCAAAGCAAATGGAGAAAAGACAACAACAGGAACTGAGGAGACACCAAAGCAAAAGGAAAGACAACAAATGGAACTGAGGAGACACCAAAGCAAAAGGAAAGACAACAAATGGAACTGAGGAGACACCAAAGCAAAAGGAAAGACAACAACGGGAACTGAGGAGACACCAAAGCAAATGGAAAAATCAACAACGGGACTGAGGATACACCAAAGCAAATGGAAAAACAACAACATGACCGGGGAGACACCAAAGCAAATGGAAAGACAACAACAGGAACTGAGGAGAACCCAAAGCAAAAGGAAAAACAACAACAGGAACTGAGGAGACACCAAAGCAAAAGGAAAGACAACAAAGGGAACTGAGGAGACACCAAAGCAAAAGGAAAGACGACAACAGGAACTGAGGAGACACCAAAGCAAATGGAAAGACAACAACAGGAACTGAGGAGACACCAAAGCAAATGGAAAAACAACAACGTGACTTAGGAGACACCAAAGCAAATGGAAAAACAACAACAGGAACTGAGGAGACACCTAAGCATAAGGAAAGACAACAACCGGGGATGAGGGAGACACCAAAGCAAATGGAAAAACAACAACGTGACTGAGGAGACACCAAAGCAAATGGAAAAACAACAACGGGACTGAGGAGACATCATAACAAAAGGAAAGACAACATCAAGCACAGATGAGAAATCAAAGGGAAAGAAACATAAACATGTACTGAGAGACAAATACAAAGACAAAAACAACAACAGAGCTGAGTCCAGGCCCCCGGATCATGAAACGGACTTTAGTTCAAATTTTGTTTTAGACTTAAATCCGCTAAAAGATCCCGTAGACATGTAATCGATTTGATTCTCTAGCATGTAATTTTTGCTTTAACAAACTTTCCTGAAACACGCTCAAAAGAATTGACGCAGTAAGAAAAAAAAAACAGGTATTGCAATGGAAACGATATTCGGCTTTCATTCTCTCCAAAAGTCTTCAAAAACATGGAGAAAATGTAATCCTGCTACCAGGGTTAGCCCCAGGGTCCTGTCCCACCCCAAGAGAATAAATCCTTGTGTAATAACATTAAAATGATCAAGATTCAGCTCCGCCATGATTATAGACTTATACATGTTTAAACAAATCTTAGGAGGGTGCTGAGAGGGAGAGCCAAATATTTCTTATTTTTTATTTGAATATGTATACGTACTGATATTTCATAAACTTGCGTCAAAAACTACATATCGAAACAAGATACTGTTTTGGTGGAAGTTAGAACATTAATAGAATATTATATACGTACTATAAAGAGATTGGCAATATGGAATATACTAATTTATTAGCTTTACAGGAGTTCAAAAAATACTAAATTTTGAAAACCTCAATACAAAAGGGGAAATAACCCCTACTTAAACTGTTGATAAAAGTCCTGGATCTGACGAATACATAGCAGATTCAGGGAACAACAAAGCGCGTAGTAGTTACAATCGAATATAATGGATTTTTTTCATTTAAAGATGATTCCGTGATATGCCTATCCCAACCTCTGGATTGTTAAATATATTTAGAGCCAAATGCCCATCCTAAAATTAGCATTTTCCGATGACAAATCTTCACCAATAAAAACCGTGGAACTGATAATACGAGCAGGTTTATTATCTGTTTTCTATAATGGCCGTTGTATAAATACGACTTCATATGTGTATACATTGTTCAAAGTATGGTCAGCTTAATGATATTTTAACGCAAATCGTACATCTTGTTTATTTTCAAATAATAAGTAAAAGAAAAAGATTAAAATGATAGTATAAAATGAAATTCAGAGTATGTCTGCATTATATACGGATCCAAATGTTTGGTAATTTTCAGAAGTTTTTTTTCGAAAATATCTTTTTTGAAAATTTGTTAAAGCTGATCATGCTTTGAATAACGCTGCGATGTGAATTAACATTAGCACGACGTGGTCCAGGTACATCTCTCATCGCAGTAAACATAGTGTCCAGTAGTTCCGTAAGCCCCTTAATTGAACAATATGAAAATTGTCGTGTTCTGTAAGTCCTCTAGTGAAAGATGTAATATAATGAAACAAGAACTGTTCACATCTTGTCTCGAGGATATATCAATGACGTCATTCTCGATATGTCAGGGGTACCACTCAATAACGCTCTCTGCACCCCTGGAATATGTCATAGCAAAATCGACGGCTCAGTGAGGACCATCTTGTGGGTGAGATAAAAAAAAAAAAGTTTGATCTTTGATATCAATTTAATAATCTGTCGGTCGCGTAACGGAAAAATTGACTGGCATTGAAGTCGGGTGTCGCTTCTCTGTTATCTTCTAAGGACAGGTATCAGCCTAGCGATTGGTCAGTTATTTTTTACCCGAGACCAATCAAGCCAGCCGTGTGCCTTCGGTTTTGCTGTGACATTTTCCAGGGGTGCCGAGAGAGTAGAAGTAAGCGTAATCCCATGAAGTATTGAGTATACAATGGGGTAAAGTAATCATTTTCAAACTTTATATGTATCTCATCATCTTTGATTCACAATGGTATACAGAGATATGTAACATACAAAGAATTAATGTTTAAAGTAATCATAAGCATGCGTGGTTATACAAAGGAATACGGTACCATGGTATCAGGGGTTTACTTGAGTTATAAATAATTATTTTGTTTAGAAAAGGTTCACATTTGTTCAGGGATGCTTTTCTTTTAGATGCCATTATAACGTTAAGCGATAATTCACTATGGCTTCTAATGAACATAGAGGATATGTCTTTTTTTATTTCATTATCTAATGTAGAACATTCAAAATATATCGGAAATTCGTCTCCGATATCTTTTACATGACACATTTGACAAAAACGTTTTCGTCTTGGTAAGATGGGTAAGATAATCACTAGAATACAAGATAAGAAAGCGCCTATTTAAACACTTAGTCTGTGCAAAGACAAATAACTAAACTAAGTAAACATATGTACCATATGGCCATTTCGTCAAATTAAGACTCGTCGGTCGTATAATTACAAACGATGTCTCTTGATTGGACGTGATGCATTACTCATGCTGAAATTTCACTCTTTGGGGCTATTATTGTGAGAGGGAAAGTATCCAATCGTGAAATTGGGTGATTACGTGACCATTATGGAGTACGATATGTAAATGACGAGATGTAACGAGCGATGCGGTATAACTCTGAACTTTTTTTAAACTAGTTAAGGAAACCCGTACCACTGTCGAAAACTATACCTATGCCATGGAAACGGATTTTTCCGACACAATTATAGCTTTGATAAATATATTTCAGGGAAAAAAAGCATACCTTTGCAAGACTTTCTGTAAACATATGAAAACAAAAATTGAAAAATAACAATAAACAACAGTTTCTGAGAGTAACAATTTCTGGTGCTAGACCAGATTCGAACCATGGACCTCAAATCTTCATGATAGCGCTGTAACCAAGTAAGCTATCTAGTCTACGGCCCAGTTCGCTACAGCTATATCAAACACTAAAAAAAGGGAAGTTACTGTACTGTATCATCAAAAATTAACAGCAGAATTCCTTTTGGTTTGTATGCAGTTGGACAGGGATCCTTTAACAGCCGCCTAGCACATTTCATTATAAAAGCTACATGTAATTGGCAGGAGTAACATACAGGCCCTTTCTGCTGATGACCTTTTGACTACGAACTATAAACATAGGATACATTTGGTTGTTCTGAGAAACTGTTTTTGGTAAACAATACTCCGTACATTTTTCATCCTCCCAGTAAACAACTGTACTAATATTGTATAAACAAATCACATGTTTTTTGTGCTTAACGTCCTATTAACCGGTCACATAAGGACATGCCAGGTTTTGGTAGTGAAGGAAAACCGGAGTACCTGGAAAACCACCGACCTGCGGTGATTAACTGACTACTGTTCCACGTAGGCTTCGAACCCGCGAACAAATAATTGATGGTAAACAATAATAGACAGTCCGACGCTTTAACCATTTGGCCATCGCGGTCTCATAAAACACATATAAGACACCGTAGCCTTATGCGACTTTTGTTTATTTTGATATTTGTGACAGGAATTTCATGAATTAAGCATTGTAAAATTCTGCATTTATGTTTGATTATCCAAGGGATTGTAGGCAGATATCAATGATACTTATTATACATTATGCATCATACACCATGCAGTAAAAATCATTGAAGATTTTTCTTTCAAAATTAATAAGAAATATGCACAGATCAACCCGTAACTATTCATGCTATTATCAAACATACTTTAACATCTGTTTGATATGAAGGTAGAATCCTGAAAAAAAATATCATAAAATCAAAAGTCACAATTAACTGTCGACACAGCAGTACTTACATGGATCTAACAAGAGAAAGATAAAATACTACACTCGTATCAATGGAATTATAATATCGAAGAAAAATACTGATACAGTATAATTATTTTGACGTTTTCGTTTATATTTTACTTATATGAAAATTAAATGTAAAAAATAAACAGAAAAATAATAGAGCAGAGCAGAGCAGAGCAGAATGAGTATTTTTAACCTTTTGTCTATTTGTTAAGGGAGCAACCCTTCGAAGAAAGAAACATTTCATACGAAATCATGGGTCGAAACAGCCAATTCAATACATAACGTAGGGCAACCTGTTCCCCCAAACTCTCGACACGCACATTACATTACTGACCTTAACGTGAAAGAACTAAAATCATTTCACCATTATTTGTTTATTCAAACACAAAGATGAACCTATTTCACACACATGGGACTGCGCCTTTACTAAATTTGGTAATAGACACAGCATGCCAAAATGAACAACGCTGCGCCATAGAGCTGTTTCGGCCTTCAAGAACTCATCCGAAATGAACAACACTGCGCCATGGAGCTGTTTCGGCGCCTTCAAGAACTCATCCGTGATCTTAAGGGCCGAAACCAAAAACAAAACAAAAACCGGAAATCAAATTTGGTAAAAACCATTGGTGAAACAAAAGGAGCTTTGCGTTAAACCCCTTAATTATATGAATTTCAAACAGTAAAATGAGTACTGGTATATTTCAAACTAATAACGAGTAAAGTGCGTATGTTAAAAACCATGCCACTACTCAAAAAATCGGCATCGGATCCGCGCCATCACAAGGAGGCAAACACACCAACATACCCTGTATCATGCATACATACATGCAGGTACGCATACACTACACACATGGTGGCACGTCCTTAAATGACCTTAGATGTTAATAGGACGTTAGACAATATTAAACCAAACCAAACCACCACTCAAATGAGATCGCCACGGTCACCAAGGTTACGACAAACCTCGAGGACTACGAATACCATCAGAAGAGTCTACCCCGTTGTATCTAGAAAGACACACATATGACTATACTTTTAAACTTTGGTAATAGATACAGCATCCCAAATATGAATTACACTGCGCCATAAAGTGACCCTTATATACTGTATCTTTTTAATCATATAACAAATGCCGTGTTTGTAATAGTTGATTACCAGTCAGAAAATCAACCTTCGGAAAAAGCGTTTTGTACATATAACTTGGATAAGGTATGATTATCAAAATTATTTATAAATAAATGCTATCCATGCAAACTCAATATCGAAGATTCTAGGGCAAAATATAAAAAAAAAGTTATGAAGCAATCCTTTAAAACATACAAGGAGAAGAGGACCATGTGTTCCAAAAGAGGAAGCGTCTTCTGCTTTATCGACAACACCCACCATGTATAACAAGGTCAAATTTAAGTCATGTCAAATCCTCAAAATGAAAACTGTGGTAGTGACAACGGAACGACACGAGAGTCATGCTTTATACCGACGGAGGTACTTAGGAATAATGGTACACATGCATGTTACACAATTGCGAACAATACTAACAGATATGTTTCGTTTGTATAACTCACCTTTTAATTCATGAAAATATTTGCCATTAAAAAGAACTGCGTGACACACTTTGTGTTTATCTGTGTCTACTGTCTTGATTCAGATCCTACAATAGTGCATTGAACATGAAATTTTCGCTGCATTGTTGTATTCGCTGTTGAAATCCTTCTGCGAAAATAACACAAACGCGAAATTAACCTGGTATACAGTATTGCATTCATTTGTCCATGCACATTTGTTAACTTGAGTTACACCTTGTTATATAGATGTACACGTATGGTACTACAGGTATTATCGTATAACCTCCGATACACTTTCCTACCCATGTAGACAATGCTTTAAAATATAATGTACGTCACAGCAATACTAGAATTGACTATAATGAAAGACAACTTCTTAACATATTTGTATGTTATGAATTTAATGAATCAGCTAACTCGATTAACATTAAAATGTTCCTCGGAACTCTGAAACGGTAAAAGTGGGATATTAGCCGTTTTAGAAAGCAAGAACACCATTTTAAGGAGCACACTTATTGCAAAGTAAGAAAAGTACAACCTGTAGAGCGCATTGCATGTCTACTTTCGAGATTTTCGATTTATCCGACGTTTGATCATATACTCAGGCTGAAATCTGTTGAGAGGTTTGGAACAAGCTGACCTTTGTTGACGCCAGGGTAAGTCCATGGGTCTACCAGTCGATTAGTCTGAAACAGTGTTACTTCTTTCTACATTTAAAAAGAGAAAGACATTCATCCCTGAAATTACTGCTGAGCAAGCAGTATACAATTGGGTTGATCACATGATTGATCACGTGGAAACGATTCAATATGGCCGCCATTGGACCAAGTGCTTCGAATGTCCTCTCTCGTAATTTCGCGTCGTAGATCTCCATACACCGGAAGACGAAGAGGGGCACAAAGGACGCGCATGACAGGAGGGAACACACCAGAAACATAACTGAAATTTGCACACTCTTTTCATACAGAGCTTTTCCTTTCAATGAAGTGTTTCTCTTTGTAGCATTGTTGTGGTCTTGTTGTTGAGAGATCGAGGTCAAAGACACATTAGACATGCGCTGAGAGCTGTCAGGTTTTCTGTCTCGGTCTGACGAAACTTCTGGTGTTTTTACAGGTCGATTTCTGAACGAAACTGTTTTAGGTCCCCGTTTATTCTGTGAAATGATTTTCCTTCCAATGAGAGAATAGAACACAGTATCAACAAGAACACAAAAGATGAGACAAAATATGAACACGGAAATATATACTCTCGAAAATATTCTGTCTTTTTCCAGTTTGCATGTTCGTCCAATCAAGGAGCCATTCTGTAAGTTAACTTCTTCTGAGTTAAACGCATATGCACTAGGCGCAGACAACAATAATCCAAAAATGTTCAAACAAACACATACTCGTTTTATTTCTTTTCGATTAAATTGACTTCCAAACGGCCTGCATGTTTTTCTGAATCGCTCAATTGCTGAAAAGCTCAGTATTGTAAGCGACGTTATCCCGACGTAGAAATGAAACACTGTTAATACCCGACAAAGGGTATTCGACTCAATGGTGTATTGATACCGTGCCTTCAGGACGTATCCAGGGATGCCAACAGCACAGCTGAGGAAGTCGACGAGGGCGAGACATTGAATCAGGGTCCTGTAATTGGACGGTTTGTCACAACGAAGGTTAGTCAGAAAAACCACTGCATTACCGAGAGTTCCAGTAATACTAAGTAAGCTGAGAAAGAAAGTGAATAGTAATCCTTTGTTGACAAACTCTCTCCATTCTACATACTCCAGAGTAACGTTAGACATGTTGAGCGATGCCGTGAACTCCTTCGTCATTCCTTATCACAAATACACAGCACGATACTGTACGTTTGTCTGTTCTAACCCTGCTCGTCTTGTATAATTGTAATCTACGGGTGTCGTGAATCAATCGATTTCTTCCGATGTACATTGATCCATTAAGAATAGTAAGTCCATTTGTTGCCTCCCTTGACAATAACGTTCCTATACACTCCAAGACAAACACGACTTTCAAAGATGGCGTGCATATTCTGTCCAAACATGACTTAAAAAGAAGGCGTCAATATTCTGGCCAATTTTGACTTTTGAAGAAAGCGTCCATATTCTGGTCAAACATGACTTTCAAAGACGGCGTCCATATATGTGTCCTTTTTCTTACTGCTATATATGTCGTCATTGTGATTAAGGACATAAACAAGATGTTGACATCGTCGTATCATGACTTCGCGAACACTCTAACATAGACAATCCATTTAGACTTACACGGGTGTTGTGGACATTTTTTCTAGGCCTCCACACACAACAGAAATGTTTTTAAGTGACATAAACGAGTAACTGGGTTAACATATAAAATAGATCTAATTTTATAATGAAAGGCTTTGAATACCATCGTTCCATGTTTTTCGCTTAATATCCTACTGGTAAATATGACACATTAACATTCCACCTAATTGGATTTAGTTCGTACGTTTATAATTTTAAAAGTCACGTATGACTACAGCTCTGCCCCTAGTGTGATGACAGTGACAGAGAAAGGTCGGGAGATACTTTCGGCAAATTAACATAACTAGAACGATAAAGGGTTCTGGCAGTTCACCCACAAAACAAAGTCGTAACTTTTGTTTGTCTATTTCATCAGATATATTCTCAACTTATATTAGATATTATGTATTAATAAATGTCTTTATAAATATTCAAGTCCACGGGGAATGATCTGCATGACTAACTATGGAAAATATAATTCCATTAGTATCGACATACTTGATAAACTTTCTGTGTATATCCGCACTTCTATTCCACGAGGGAAATGTATATCCATCATTAAAAAGAACCAATATCCATATTGGACTGATATTAACATTTGTGCCAAATGGGAACCGTCGGTACTTTCCGTAGTTTACGGAAAGTGCCGACAGTTCCCGATTGGCCTGTGTGTAACGTCCATATCCTTTTACTATAATATAACAACGGTATTGTCCTACGTACATTTACACAATAGCAATTAAGTAATTAGTTTGAGTGACATCTGTCATTCATAGCAATCGGCCTTTCAGACCCCGGCCGTACCGGTGTGTTCTCCTTTCTCCCACTTTTTAAAAAATACATAGAGGCAGTAATGTTGTGATAGCAGTTATAGTCTGTTTCATATATATATTACCTGGTTTCTACCTGTGTATACAGTACTGTAATATACATGTAGCTTTGATATAATCTATTTTTATCATTTTTAGCCATTTGTTTCACATCATATACCATTTTCATTAGCTAGATCTATACAAAACAGTAACGTGAAATCCACAAATATTTTATGTATTTTATATACTTAATAGTATACATATAGATGATTATGCTTTGAATTAATTTCATTTTTTTTTTTTAATTCAAATTTAAATTAGTTTGATTTTGGGTGAAGCAAATTCATATTGGAGCATTATTTTCAGAGAATCTTTTTTGCCAATAAATGCGTCTTCAGTGTAATTATTAATAACTAAGTATCACTCATTAGATTATTTTTCCTGGAGTTTGAGGGTGCTGTCCAGAACGCCATCCGCGCAGCGTTTCCAGCTGTGAGTTTTAAGGGCTGTTCTTCCACTATACACAGTGTGTTTGGAGGAAAGTCCAGTAGACCGGACTTCAACAACTCTACGCCAACAACGACGATGTCCGACAACTTGTACGGCGTGCCACTGTACGTACTACCCCTTGTTCCGTTAGACCGTGTAGAAGATGTCTGGTTCAATGCGCTGGAGGACATAGACGATGCTGATGTTCCACATGACACCACTCCATTTACAGATTACGTTGTGACACAGTGGATTGACTGAGATCAACAACTCTGGAACCACTTTGAGACCGAGGGATCCATAACAACCAACCACATAGAGGGATTGCACAGCAAACTGAAGAAGAAATTGGAACACACCGACTCCAACATCTACAGCATCATCCGCGTCTTCCAGGAAATACAACGAGATAACGTGCATCCAACACGCAGCAGGGGGACAATTCAGACCAAGAGCAAAACGCTAACGTTACAACGACAGCCGCCTTAACCAACTAAAGATGTAATCCAGTACGCCTACACAGCATCCCATTTTTTGCATTTAGAGTGACATTGTGATAAATGTGCTTGTTATGGAATTTTGATTTGGTGCTTTGCTAGGATTCCTTAAAATTATGAACTTTTCATTATTTGTGCTTTTTATGGACTTTCCAGTATTTCACCTATATAGACAGATGTCGACTTTAAAGGAAAAGCTTCATAAATGGAACTTATTTTAATTGACACAAGTTCAGGAGAAACAATTTACACAAATAGTTCCAGGATATTAATTATATTTATGGCACACGATGGTATAGATTAAATGAAAGTTTGTAGTAATGATATATTAAATTAAAGTTCAAATTTAGCACTTTAATCATAAAATTCTTTATGATAATAACATCAATCCAGTTCTATATCATCTTAAAGGCTGGCATCATACTTAGCGCGCACCATGATAAGTTTGTCTGTGACACATGTGGCACTTATAACAGTTGGTCTGCCACATCTGTACAGTTTATTGCTTATATTTATGTTTTCGTAATGAGAATTCGTAAAAAATAATTTATGTCTTTTCCAACTTTCAAATTTCCCGCTTATAACCGTCAGGTCGGGTCAATATCGAGAACGACACAAAGATAACAGCTGACGTCACGCGCTATTTCCCATACAAAATTGAAAAGACTTAAAACGCAAACTTTCGTTAATAATTCATTTGTTTTTAATTTATATCATATTCTCAATTCATAAAATAGTAACAAATAACATTTTGTAAGTAACTATTCAAGTNCATAAAATCATCTCTACATAGTGACATAACCATCATGTGAAACTTTCATTGAATTCTGCTGGCTAATTGCGAAAGGGTGGAGCCTCCTTAACATGAAAAATATAAACATACAAATTGTCACAGGAAAATCGAGGGAAGGGAGGCTACTCTTAAGACTTTAACTCCGACCAGCGCTATTCGCCAACTTATGCATGGGATTATAAGTTAGCTGTGATGTTTCATATCGCGTGTGTTGTACCGATATTTTTTTTTATGGGATCAAAAATCTTTCAAAATCATGATGGATGTTTTTTTTTATCTCCTTCAAAGCTAAATGTCACGAGTTCACTGTATTTAGATTAGAATTAGACAAGAAAATCATTTGAATGTTCAAATGTAGCTTCTCTACCAGTAAACTAAAAACATGTATAAATGCACGAATGACTAATACAAATTTAAGTTCTGAAAACACGTGTAGATATATCTAATTTAGTCCCTCTTTTCATTAGCATGCAATTCATTGTTCCATAACTACATATAACCATGTATCACAAAATATAAGTGTTTAATATTAATACAAAGGGGTAAATTTTATACAAAGGGATATACAAGGCTGAATTATCCCTTTTGTAAGAGAATGAACATATCTTGGTCCTGGAGGCATTGATAACTCCATTTTCTGACAGAATTTGTAATTTTTGGACATTTCTCCATTCTACACTTATTGGAGCAATTCTTTGGTTATTACAGAATGATAAATGAACTTCTAGAAATAACAACACATACAATGTATCACATAAATACGTTTGTTTTTAAAGTTCATGATCTCACTTCTAACACAATGTTACGTTCTTAATCGAGTAAAATATCGATTCTGCGTTTTGCCAGATTAACGTATTCTGTCTGTATGAAATTAAACGGACAATTTCTGCGTAAATAACTGAATACTTACTCCATGACATATCTTAAGTTCATATGACCAGTAACAGAACTCAAAATACTTCAGTTACTTAAAAAATCTAAATGTTATTCAATTCTCTATCTCTCTCTAATTTCTTACAAAGTCACTCAACCCTGAACACAAAAAAAAAGTTAGTCTCATTGACTAACTCTGTGTGCACCGAACCGAAGTTCTTGATATGCAAGATGTATATGCTTAGCTTATTAATGTACATTATAAGTCAAGTCAATATTGTTTATTTCCGTGTCAAATATCACAATTACATTGATTCATTTAAAAATTATGTACAGTTACATGACATAATCAATCATCTTATTTGAAATATTGTTTAAACAGTTATGATGTGTCATATATGAACGTTTCCTCTATGAAACGTTAATTTGTAAGTTTCTGTGCAATCAATCTATGATTATTTACATTCAATTAATTCCTATGATAAATATGAGATATTTTATAACCAATTCGTTTGTTTGTAATATATTTTTACATCTTTTAACCATTTCAACCTTTTTGTTTCCGGTTTTTATGTATTCATTTTTTTGTGTGAATTTCACGCTCTATGGAATTATGATCGAGACAGCCCCCACCTAACAAGCTATCTGGATGGTGATCGGGACAGCCCCTACCTAACGAGCTCTCTGGATAGTGATCGGGACAGCCCCCACCTAACAAGCTATCTAGATGATGATCGGGACAGCCCCTACCTAACAAACTCTCTGGATGGTGATCGGGACAGCCGCTACTTAAATAGCTCTCTGGATGGTGATCGGGACAGCCTCTACCTAACGAGCTCTCTGGATGGCGATAGGGACAGCCTCTACCTAACGAGCTCTCTGGATCGTGATCGGGGCAGCCCCTACCAAACAAGCTCTCTGGATAGTGATCGGGACAGCCCCTACCAAACAATTTCTCTGTATGGCGATCGGGACAGCCCCTACCTAACACGCTCTCTGGATGGTGATAGGGACAGCCTCTACCTTACGAGC